CTTAACTATATTTTCCCCAACTATTCTTAAGATCCTGTTAAGGGCTAACCTTCAATTATCCCGGTTTATTCCCGTTTATTCCCATAAATTCCCGTTTATTCCATGGAAACTTTGAAATTCCAGAATTTTGCATTTCTACTGAATCCACCTTGAAGACTGTTCCTGCAGACTAGAAGTTGAGTTTCATTCCTGGGAAAAGCATTTTTATTTCTACTTTGTTTTGTTTGATTTTATTTGAGTGTTAAAAAGTAGAAAATGACTCAACGACTTAAGACAGAAGGAGCGAGACGAGACGAGACGAGTGCATCTCAGATCAAAGTAAACTCTCTAAGTTTCATTGTAACAGTGAAGTCACTGAGTTAGCTCTAAGATTTGCATAAAGTGTCTTTAAATATATTTTAATTGGCCAGAGTGCACCTGAGAACCAGAAACTATCTTTGCAAAGAAAAACTGTATCAACTCGACTAAAGCTGTTATAATTTAACTAAAAGGAAGGATGAAGAAATCGAGTCAATTAAACTCCAGAGTGAAACATTATTCGACTGCATGGTTTCTCCGTGCTGTCAGATTCAATCACTGCTGTGACTTTAAACGATGTGTCTGCGAGTCGTTAGTGAGGTTTAAAAACTTTAAAATCTTCACTCTCAGACTCTGATGCTTCTTATTCTCACGTCTTGTTAGAGCAGCCTTCCACACGTTTGCTCTGCACCGATCTGTTTCCTGTTTCTGACTGATACAGTAAACGGCTCTGTTCTTAAATCTCATCACACTCTGAGGCAAAGTTTGGAGAGCGTGCACGAGAGCGACGGGAAGTTCTGGATTCTCCTGAGGGACTCTGGAATACCGAGTGTGAGCGCGTGCAGAGAGAAGGAATAAAGGTTAAAGATTAAAAAGAGAAAAAACAAATAATCAGACGTCTCTCTCCTTCCTTCACTCACTCGGAGTAAAGAAAACCCCCGAGGCTGTGAGGCGCTGCCAGCAGCCGTCATTAACACAGAAAGAAAGAGACGGGGGAGAGGGGGGGGGGAGGGAGACGTTTGTTCTGTTGTTGTTTTCAGATTTATTTTCCCCGCGTCCTGCTGCTTATTGGTTTAGAGCGGAGGAGGAAGAGGAGCGAGGGACAAACACAAACAAAGAGACAAACATCAAATCTGTTGACCTCAAGGGAGCAGCAGAACCCGCTAATGAGCTGTGACAGCAAGGGGAGAGGAGAGGAGAGGAGGAGAGGAGGGGAGGAGAGAGGAGAGGAGAGGAGAGGAGAGGAGAGGAGAGGAGAGGAGAGGAACATTCAGAGCATTCAGAGCATTGACTGTTTTTAAACATGACGTCACATCTCCACCTCCTCCTGTTGTACAAAAGTGAAGCCAAAGTCCCCGCAGCAGACGCTGAGATGTGGAGTCAGAGTCTGTGCAGCAGGGATTGGCTGGTTTTTGATGTCCCGCCTCTTCCTCTAACAGAACACACACCTCAAACAAGAAGAGATGCTAAAGTCGTCCTCATGTCACTCACCTTCGTCCTCGTCGTTGGCGGTGACCGTGATGAGGACGTAGCCGACCTCCTTGTCTTCCTCCACGCTCACCTCGTAGACCGGCTGGGGGAACGCCGGCGCGTTGTCGTTAACGTCCGTGATGAAGATCCTGACGTAGGCCGTGTCTGAAGACGAGACAGATTTATGATGAGATGATGGAAACATTTCTCAACACAGTGAATGAACTGGATGAAGGAGTTCACTTCTCACCGGTGTTGGGCTGCCCCTGCTGACCCGGTCTGGAGGACTCGGAGCCGTCCTGCGATTGGACCTCGATCAGGTAGGACGCTTTCTGCTCGCGGTCGAAGGACGCTCGGGTGACGATGACACCGCTGCGCGAGTCGATACTGAAGAACTGAGAGTCCCCGCTCTCGTCTTTCAGGATCACGTAGTGGATCTGAGGACGGAGGAGAAGGAGAAATAAGAGAAGCTGAAGAAGTTAACAGACAGTAAGAGAGCTGGTATCTTTCCTCACCTTGCCATGCAGACCGGAGTCCAGGTCCGTCGCCGACACCTGAGCGACTGAGGTGCCGATTTCCGCCCCCTCGGGAACCGTGGCCTCGTAGGTGGACGACAGGAAGAAAGGGACGTTGTCGTTCACGTCTGAAAATCATGAAAAAAAGAAAGTGGTTAAAAAAAGCTTGATTAATCATTTTTGTTTTTCTGTTTTTGGCAGGAGGACACGAGTCTGTCATCTCCTCTCCTCTCCTCTCCTCTCCTCTCCTGTTTCCGTTTCCGTTTCCGGTTTCCGGTGAGTGTGAGTGTGAGTGTGAGTGACGGTGGTGGTGTTGCGAGTGGCGCGGAGATTGAATTGTTTGCTATCCTTTCTACTGTTTTCAAAGTGCACGATCAGGTCAGTTTGTTTTCATATTTGTATTGAGTGTTGTTGGCTGTGTAAGACAGATCGTTGGAGGGGTTGGAGGGAGGAATGGCGTCTGCTGAGACGCCACCTCCGACTCTCCGACAGGGAGTTCGGATAGTCCCTCCGAACGGTACTGTCACCGTGGAGGAGGTTCTGTTAGCTGCAGGTGAACAGGTAGGCCATGATAAACTCTTGTATGCATCCCGAATGAACAAGGCTGTGGTTGTTTTTCTGAAGAGTCAGCCTCTTGTGTATCAGCTGATTGAGAGTGGTGTGTTCATTAGGGATTTGTTTGTGCAGGTTTCCCCGTTGTCGGTTCCCTCTACGCGGATCACCGTATCCGGTGTTCCGCCGTTTATTTCTAACAACTTGTTAGAGAACGAACTCCGCAGGTTTGGGAAGTTTGCGAGTGGTTTCAAAACTGTGAGTCTAGGGTGTAAAGATCCCAAACTGAAACATGTTCAATCTTTGCGGCGTCAGGTGTTCATGTTTTTGGATTCGCCCACACAGACTCTGGAGGTTTCCTTTAGAGTGAAACACGGTGACGCTTCTTATATGGTGTATGCGAGCTCGGGACAACTGAAGTGTTTTGAGTGTGGTGATGTGGGACACAAACGTTTTGCGTGTCCGCACAGACAGCAGGAGGCGGCTAGTGCTGCCGCTGACGCGGGCAGCTCTGTTAGTGTGGCGCATGTGGCGGGGCCGCGTCCGCGTCGCGCTTGGGGCGGAGGCCGCGTCCGCGTCCGCGCTTGGGGCCGAGGCCGCGTCCGCGTCCGCGCTTGGGGCGGAGGCCGCGTCCGCGCCCGTGCCTGGGGCGGGGGCCGCGTCCGCGTCCGTGCCTGGGACGGGGGCCGCGTTCGTGCCCGTGCCTGGGGCGGGGGCCGCGTCCGCGTCCGCGCCTGGGGCGGAGGCCGCGTCCGCGTCCGTGCCTGCGGCAGAGGCCGCGTCCGCGCCTGCGCCTTGTGCTGAGGCCGTGGCTGAGGTAGAGTGGCTTCGACCAGCTCTCAGGCTACAGAAAAATCACAGACTGTAGATAATGATAAAACTGAAGATTCCACAAGTTCTGCAGTTGTAGATGTTTCATTGAAGGAAGGTAAGACAGTGTGTTGTAGCCAGGCATCATGTGAAGGAGAGGACATGGATGAAGATTATGAGTCAGACAATGCATCCATTGCTGATTTGCCAAATAGTGGCTCTGGTCTTTATTCTTTAGAGTCAATCAATCAATTTATGGATGAAACGTACAACAAATCAGTAAAAATCAGTGACTACTTTAGTGATACTGAAAAGTTCATAAAGTCAGTCAGCATACTGAAAAGACAGGTTGGGTTTGACCTCCTGGACGCAAAAAAACGGTTCCGTCTTAAAAAGCACATCACCGCACTGAGGAAAGTTGGACGTAAGAGTGTGAAGAAGACAAAGAAATGATCATGCATCACAAGGTGTTTTTCTTCTTCTACTGTTCCCTGTTTGTGTCTACTTGTCTGTTTTTTCTCTGATCTTTCTATGAGGAGTCTTAAGATAGGATCTCTTAACATTAATGGTGGGAGAGACAGACAGAAAAGGGGCCTTATCTCTGAGATCTCAACTCAGAAAAACATTGATATCTTGTTTTTACAAGAGACTCATACCACACCATCAGATGAGACAGATTGGGGTTTATGGTGGGAGGGCTCTAACTACCTTAGCCATGGCACCAACTTAGTGCAGGAGTAGCCATTTTGTTTAGAGCATCTGCAAATGTAAAGATCGTCTCTTGTGCTGAAATTGTAAAGGGAAGGCTTTTAATTGTAAGAGCAGAAATAGAGGACACTGTTTTCTGCTTCACTAATATTTATGCTCCAAATAATGGAGCTGAAAGGGTAGCTTTCTATACCCGCCTCCAAAAGGAGTTACTGATCTATAATCAGGATCAGATCATTCTTGGTGGTGATTTTAACTGCACACTTGATTTCACCGTGGATAGAATAGGAGAGGAGCCACATCCACATTCATCCCAGACTTTAAACACTGTCATCTCTCACCTGGATTTGTTGGACACATTTAGAGTGAAACATCCACAATCCAGACAGTATACATGGGTCAGGGTTAACAGTAACAGGGTGTGTGCAGCTAGACTGGACAGGGTTTACATCTCCAGAACTCTCAACCCCAGATTAATTCATTGTAATATTCTGCCTGTCGGCTTCACTGATCACCATTTTGTTAGTGTGGAGCTGATTATTTCACCAGGTGAAAGGGCTAAGTCCTTCTGGCATTTTAATAACAAGCTTCTACTGGACAATGTTTTCTGTAAAAACTTTGGGTGTTTTTGGGATCAGTGGCAATTAAGAAAAGTTGAGTTTGATTCTTTGAAGCTTTGGTGGGAGGTTGGTAAAGCTCAGATTCGTGTTTTTTGTCAGCAGTACACGTCACACTCTTCTGCTAGATTAAAAACAGTCATTAAAAATCTTGAGGACAACATTAAGAACCTTGAGGAGGGGTTAAATGGGAGTGTGGATCCCACCGCTGGTACCCTGCTGAAGGAGAAACGTATGGAGTTGAGCTCTTTCCTGCAGGAGAGGGTGAAGGGAGCTCTTGTGCGGAGTCGTTTCCTTCAACTCAAAGACATGGATGCCCCAACGTCTTTCTTTTTCAATCTTGAGAGATCTGTGGCTCAAAAAAAGCTGCTGACTTGTCTGAAACTGCCAGGAGGTCGAATAACAGCTGATCCAAAGGAAATGAGCAGTCACGCCATGCAGTTCTATGAGGATCTGTTTGGAGCAGAGAGTTGCAGCCAGGAGTGTCGCAGGGAGCTCCTGGAGGGTCTCCCTCAGCTCAGTGTGGAGGAGAGGTCTCTTCTGGAAGGGGAGCTGTCTCTGGAGGAGCTCACTGCTGCTGTCACTCAGATGGCAACAGGAAGAGCACCTGGAATAGATGGGTTGTCCACAGACTTTTTTAAGAGGTTCTGGAATATCCTTGGGTCTGACCTGCATAGTGTTTTAATGGAGTGTTGCAGGACCGGGTCTCTTCCTGGTTCTTGTAAGAGAGCAGTTCTTTCCTTGCTCCCCAAGAAAGGTGACCTGGCATTGTTAAAAAACTGGAGGCCGGTTGCTTTGCTTTGTGCGGACTACAAGATCCTCTCCAGAGCTTTATCGAACAGACTAAAGGACGTTCTGGGAAGTGTGGTCCATAAAGACCAGAGTTACTGTGTTCCAGACCGGACAATCATGGATAATATTTTTCTTATCAGAGATGTCATTGATGTGTGTAAAATCTATAATCTAAATGTTGGCATTGTGTCTCTGGATCAAGAGAAGGCGTTTGACAGGGTGGATCACTCGTATTTGTTTTCTGCACTGAGGTCTTTTGGTTTTGGGGATGGTTTTGTGTCATTAGTTGGTTTGTTGTATCAGGATGCACAGTGTTTGGTGAAGATGGGGGCGGGGTTGAGTCGGCCAATCCCTGTACGGCGAGGGATCAGACAAGGTTGTCCCATCTCCGGCCAGCTGTACAGCTTGGCTATTGAGCCCTTGCTGTGCAGGTTGAGGGACCGGCTCAGCGGGCTTTCTTTGCCCGCGGCCTGTAGCATTGAATGTCCCCCTACAATTTCTGCCTATGCTGATGATGTAAACATCTTCATCTCCAATCAGGGGGACGTTCGGTGTCTGCGGGACACCCTGTCCCTGTATGAAAGGGCAACAGCTGCACGGGTGAACTGGGAAAAAAGTGGTGCCTTACTGGTGGGAGAGTGGAGGGACCAGGCAGTGCCCAGTCTGCCGGGTGGACTTGAGTGGGGGAGGGAGGGGTTGAAGGTGTTGGGGGTTTATTTGGGTACCGAGGGCTTTAAAAGTAAAAACTGGGAGGGAGTTAGGGAGAAAGTGTGCGCTCGGTTGTCTAAATGGAAATGGTTGCTACCCCAGTTGTCGTATAGGGGAAGAGTTCTGGTGGTCAATAACTTGGTTGCCTCGACTCTCTGGCACAGACTTGTGGCTTTGACACCTCCAAGAGGGCTGGTGGAGGACATTCAAAGGGCCATCCTGGACTTCTTCTGGTCAGGCAAACACTGGGTCCAGGCGGCAGTCCTCTACCTGCCGGTGGCTGAAGGGGGACATGGACTTATAGACATTCAGTCAAAAATTGCCTCATTCAGACTCCAGACTGCACAGAGACTCCTTTTCACTTGTGGTCCCAGCTGGATGGACATCGCTCGACTGCTGCTGAGGAGAGCTGGACGGCTGGGGTACACTAAGCAGCTCTTTCTGTTAAAGCTTGAGGAGGTGGATCTCACTGGATTAACATCCTTTTATATGTCTGTAATGCAGGCATGGAAAATGTACACATTCAAAAGGGAAAAAACTGAGAGTCTGGGAATGTGGATCTTTGAGGAACCGTTATTTTTTAATGATTTCATAAGGACTCCAACTTTGCAGTCAGCCAGTCTCCGGGCCAGTTTCAGAGAGGCAGGCTGCACAAAACTGGGTCACCTGGTAAGACTGACCCTGGACGCCCTCAAAGAAAGGACCAATATCACCTCCAGCCGGGTGGTTGAAAGAGTGGTGGAGGAAGTCTTTGCTGCACTTCCAGTAAAACTTGTGACATTTCTAAACATTGAGAATCTGTGTGAGCAGTGGAGTGAAGAGGGCGAATACAGCTTCCCATCTTTGTCTGTTACCCCAGATGTCGGGGAGTGGCAGGAAAGAGGAGGTGGACTGCTGTCCTTTAGTACTCCTGTTCTGGGAAAGTTCCAGGATGCAGGGAAAAAGGCACTCTATCAGTCCTGTGTTAAGGTCCTACATCTTCGTGGTCTGTCGGGAGTGAAAGAGTCGAGGTGGATCGAGTTTTTTGGCCCGGAGGTTTCCCCGAAAGGCAGCTGGCGGTCCCTGTACAAGCTGCCTGTTGAGAAGAGAACAGCAGATCTCCAGTGGAGAGTTGTGCATGGGGTTATAGCCACGAACAGATACAGAGCGCACATTGATCCAGGGGTGGGAGAGGAGTGTTTGTTTTGTTCACTAACTGAAACTTTGTCTCATCTGTTTGTTGAGTGTCCCAGGCTCTCACTCTTGTTTGTCCTTATGAAAAGCTTGTTTGAAGCTCTCGGGGAGGATTTCTCTTATGCAGTGTTTGTTTTTGGGCCAAAGTATTCTGCAAAGAAAAAGACTGTACATACACTGATGAACTTTTTATCTGGCTCGGCTAAGTTGGCCATTTGGCTTACACGCAAGAACCGAGCTCAGGGTACTGGCTGTGTGGAACCGGTGCTGGTTCTGGAGGGACTTTTGAAGGCCAGACTAAAGGTAGAATTTGCCTATTATCAAATGATGGACAATGTGCAAGACTTTAATAGTGTATGGGCTGTGGAAGAAGCTTTGTGCTCTGTGGGTGGGGATGGAGAGCTGATTATTCATTTTTGATGCAGTAAATGTTGTTTTTGTTGATGTTGTGATTTTTGTTGCACTTGTTTTATTTTTTATTTATTTATTTATTTCCTTCTCTTGATCTGAGTGATGATGTGACAGTGTTATAATTTTCTCCAGGTAGTGGTAAAATAAAAGGTATTTTGAAAACCAAACCTCTCTCCTCTCTCTCTCTCTCCTCTCTCTCCTCCCCCCCTCTCTCCTCTCTCCTCTCTCCTCCCTCCCCTCTCTCCTCTCTCCCTCCTCCTCTCCTCTCTCCTACCTCTCTCCCCTCCCTCTCCTCTCCTCCCTCTCTCCTCCTCCTCTCATCTCTTCTCCTCTCTCCTCCCCTCCTCTCCTCTGAAACATTTACATCATTAAATCTGATTTTAAATGAAAGATCAGCTCCAGTGGAATAAAAAAGAGAGGGTCAGTCTGTGGTTTCAGACGTCCATCAGAACGCCAGCCTGGACGAGTCTCCCCCGCTAATGAAGACGAGTTATTAGTGAGGAATTATCCTCCCAACACCGTGAAGAGTCCACAAAGCAGCTTGTCAGCTCACTTTTCTAGCTCCGCTAAGCCATTACAGCGTCTGATGTGGGTTTGTTTAAAGCCACTCAAAGTCAGGAAGTGTTTTCTCCTGATTGGGAAATGAGTCAGTGTTAAAAAATGAGGCGGCGTGGAGCTCACACATCCAGTCGCCGCTGTTCTCTTTAAACTGCAGGGACGAGCAGATATATGAAGTCCATGATTCCTCCAGCAGTGTGTCTCACTATAGAGCTGCAGACGCTCCCACATCACAGCAGCTCTGATGGTCACCACTGAACCATCGCTTCTTTATGGCCTAACTATGGCACTAACTATATTTTACCCATGGTTCATAGTTCATTGGAAAAGTTGCTGCACTTAAAGGGATACTTCACCCATTTGCATTAATCTTTGTATCATTAGAAACCTGGTAGTATTTTTGAATGGTCGTGCATCCCGCCCTCATTTTCCCCTGAGATGTGAAATCTTTGTATTTCTGAGTCTGTAAAGGAGCTGCCAGTGACGCAAGATGAGGTTGAGGTTAGCAGGGTGAAACTACAACGCTAGTTCCTCATATTTTCGACCACTGAAGCTACAGACCAATCACAGATCAGTGGGTGGGAACTCACTCCTAGAATCGAAACTTAACGTCCGCCATATTGCTTGGAAGCTATGCTAACAGGCTCTATGGAGAAAGCTGATAACGGCAAGAAAACATAAATATAGCGGCGAGACAGCTGCTGCCTGGTCTTGTGTTCTGGCTGCCTGGTCTTGTGTTCTGGCTGCTATGACATAAGGCCGGCCTATCGGCGGCGGTGAGGACGAGGAGCCGGGGCCGGCTCGAGCTGGGGCGGACTGGTAGTGTTGGTGCTCTCACTGTTTGTCTATGGACACAGACATAGAGTCTGTTTTCTGACAGGAATTTACAAGATCAATTCTGGAAGAAATCTCTGAATCAGTTGAGGAAACGTCTTTATGTGTTGAAGTAAATATATCTGTAAATGTTTTTATTTCTAGATTTCTACTGCTATACTGTATATTTTGGAGAAACTGTAATATCCCTCTGCGATTAATAAAGTATTTCTGATTCTGATTCTGAAATCGAGGACCTTAGTGGGAGTGGCCTGCGGTGAAGTGCATTCTGGGAGTTGGTGTCTTTCATCCACATGAGCCAAAAAGACTCTTTCTGCCTTTTCTCGGCCAAGAAGGCACCAACTTCAAAATGTATTTCACATTTCTACATATATGACCAATGTCAATACAGATTCATGTTTCATGGTGAAGTATCCCTTTAAACGTGACCATAAGAGAGTAAGACATTTATGACCACACCCCTACCCTCTCACCTGTCACGTTGACGTAAACGGTCGTGAAGGACGCGAGCGGCACGGCGGCGACGTTCTGGACTCTGACTCTGAGCGTGAAGAAGCGAGTTGTCTCGTAGTCCAGTTCTCGGCCACCAGGATGGACGCCGAGCTGTCGGCCCGGTTCGGCTTGACGTAGAACCGGACGGGCATGTTAGTCTCCGAGACCTGACCCTCCTCCAGGTTGTAGGTCACGCGGGGTCACCGAGCGGGGGACGTGGCTTGATGGTCTGATGGGAGGGACAGAGGGGAGGACATTGAATCACACTTTGAATCACCGCTGTGTGTACTCATGCAGAGAGAGAGAGAGCAGTCACATGACCTCACATCTTTAGAAGGTCATCTCTGATAAAGTCGGTGGTTTCTGGATTGTTTTGCAGAATATTAATAGGCCTCACCCTCAGATTGAGCTCATGAAATAGAGAGAGTAATATGCAGCTCTGCACAAACACTGCTGCAGACCTAGCCATAACAACAACTCCCACATGTCATCACAATCCAGCTCAGAATAAAAGCCAAGAGAAGAAGAAGACGAAGACGATGGCGTCCTGCTCCGTGATGACATCATTTTACTACACAGCTGTTTGCTGTCGGCAGCAAACTGTTCATCATCATAACGGCTCTAACGTCTCCCAGATGCATAAACCAAAACACTCACTGACAATATGACAGTTTAAGATACACAACTGTACGACTAAGAATGCAGCGTTTCAACGGTCAGAGCGTCAGATCCTTATATGGACATCAAGCGCTGAGCGAGGAAAGTCCAGAAGTTTGAACGACCTAAAAAGGTTTCAGATCAGTTTTCTGTTGATGCTTTCTGCGTGAAAAAATATGTGATTGGATCCGTGTGTGTTTGTGTGCGTGTGCGTGTGTTTGAGTTTGTCTGTGTGTGTGTGTGTGTGTGTTTGTGTGCGTGTGCGTGTGTTCTTTGTCCTGATAGCATCCACCAGCAGCAGAGGTTTTAAGAGTCATTATTCTCTTGACTGCAGTTTGATCTGACCTTAGAGAGAGAGAGAAAGAGAGAGAGAGAGAGAGAGAGAGAGCGTGCGTGTGCGTGTGCGTGTGTGTGTGTGTGCGTGCGTGCGCGCGCGCGCGCACGTGCTTTTAAGGCTCTTGTTCTTCCTGACCACACACTCCGGCCTCGGCAGGGAAGGATTGTGTTTTCCACGGTTGAGTGATGCGACCACAATTTAATGTTCTGAGCGTAAGGGTATGACCTGTACTGTTCGACACACACACACACACACACACACACACACACACACACACACACACGGAGGACTCTTTGCTCCACACATATACAGGAAGGAACAAATCGATTCTTCTGTTCATGACAGAACAGACTTTTAGAATATGAATAGTCATTTAAAGTTGAATAAACCCGTCACTGATCATCAGAGTGTTTTTAGTGTTTCACATCTCGTCTGTTTGTACCATAGGCTGTACATACAAGCAGACGGCGTCCCTCAGCCTCCTTCTGTTGAAGCCAGGACACCACCATGACGGGCGCTCACATGTTGTGAATATGAAACCAGACTTGGTGCAGTAGGAAAATCGGTGTTGATAGCATGCAGCTATCGCTACTGAAAACACACATTTAACTGATTAAAGGTCAAAGGGCCCTCAGGCGGGTCCAGTCCAGGGAACAGGTTATTGTGTCGGGCTGAAGCAGACACTCTTTATGGAAGTTCAATCACTTTTGTATTAGTGTTAGAGGACGTGCATTAAAAACTCATTTTCCTGTGATGACAGTTCATTTGAGTTGTTTTCTTGTTGTCTCATGAAATCAAAGCTGGGTAACTGAGGAATAAAGAGAGCCGGCGAGAAGCACTTTCTCAACATCTCAAGAAAAGAACTCTTTATCACGAGAAAACCAGCGTGGTTATCCTGAGATATCAACAAGAATAAGTCTAGATGTCAGAGTAATGTATGAATGTTTGTCCGCTCAGGGCTTCCATATTAAAGTGCAGTTAGTGCAAACCTGAATCCGATCTCTTTGTACACACACAAAGACCCGGTCCGGGACATAGGTTAGCTCGCCGTCTGCAGCCCGCGGCTCCATTAAAGAAGAGAAACGGTTGACGTTGAAGCAGCTGCAGTCTTTGTTTCCTGCAGAGGTTACATGTTCCCTCACAGAGACACGCAGACACGCTGAGTGAGAAACGCTGTCTGCAACTTCAAACACCAAAACCCTCTCAGCACTCTCTCTCTACTGCCGACCAGAGCAGCTCGAACGCCCCTTTAAAGACACTCTCATGTCTTTTCTGCCCACACACACACACACACCACACACACACACACCACACACACACCACACACAACACACCACACAACACACACACACACACACACACACACACACACACACACTTGTTGACACAGTTGCAGCGAGCACATTAAAGTTCAAAGGAAATCAATTCAATGCTAATTATGAAGGGACAGGTAGAGGAGGCAGGCAGCAGGTGAAAGTAGACCTCTCTCTCTCTCTCTCTCTCTCTCTCTCTCTCTTAGCTCCTCCCTCTGGCCGCCCGGGGGTCTCCTTCTAGTGTGACACAACGAGGGAAAGCCCAAAGGACTCTGGAACGTGCCTGACTTCCTGCTGGGAATATCGACACAGCTTTTACTTAAGTTAAGGACCGGATGGCTTGTGGCACCAGCACCAGTTCTCCTGCAGACAGCAACCCCCTTAAAGACCCCCAGGAGACGAGGCTGACTAGATCAACAAACTTCCAGGACCAGGAAATAACCCTGCAGGGGGAAGTTAATGTAAGGAAACCAAACGTAAATCCCTTTTCTCTCAAGTCTTGACACTCTGCTTCTCCACACACGACCTGATGTTTGATGCTCCACCAGCGTTCACTTTCTCTCTTTAAAGATTATTATATCGCCTCTTTGTCTTTATTGTTAAGACACCTGCAGAGAGAGCGGGGCAGACATGCATCACAGGGTCGAGGTCAGGAGTTGGACCTGCAGCCGATGTGTCGAGACTGTAGGACTTTACCTTGACTATTCTCTACTAAAACTGTGCAATCTGGAAAACTGGACAATATTTATACATCAAAAGTGCAATATCTACGCTTTAATTCATCAGTGTATATTCAGATTTGTAAATATTGTTTATATTCTCAATGACCTGCGCTTGAACATAGATTATTACTTATACTACTTTATTATTGCTTTCACTTGGTACTTATGCTTATTATATTGTTACTATTTTTATTAATTTTTATATTGTGAACTTATCTGTACTTCCTGCTGATGTTTTGGTGTTATAAGCAACTGTAGCAAACACATTTCCCCCTGGGATTAATAAAGTATTTCTGATTCTGATAGCCTGTGAGAGTTCAGAGATCCTCCTTACCCCATCCTCCATTATCTGACAGGAAGAAGAAAGCCTGTGAGGCTATTGGCTATGTGTGTTTTTCGGCTAAGCCTGAGGGTATTGATAAACACATAAAATGGATTACAGGTCAAGACTTCCTTTATGTAAACTTGTCAAACGCCCCTTTTACAATGCCAGGTCAAGACGGGACTCCGTCTCCTTTGTGATGCCTCACAGTCAGTGGACTCTCACAGATATTTGATCACATCTTAAAGGAGATTATTAAAAAGTAACTTGTTTTTGGAAATTGTTCAAAAATTGGATTTCAGGGATTCATTTTCTGCTTCAACAAACAGACTATTTACTTAAGTGCAACGAAAAGCTTTCTCAAGTGTGATTAGTCAATTCACCTTCGACTACTCAATGAAACCAAACATTTACAATACCAACATGTGTCAAGCACCTGCAGAGTTTCCATTCGTGATCAGAATTCTGAAAAAGATTTAGTACCAACAAACCTTGAAAGGCTTTTATCCTTTTCAGGTAAACAAAACATTTCATTACAAATGCTGAGTGATGAAGCTGCAACAACAAACACCACATCTTTGAGCTACTTTATTCTCCTCTAAAGAGGCTTTGAAGGTCCAATCAGTGAGCTGTGTAGAGAGTGATGATAAAGGTATCTTACTCTCTGATCATTAAGGAAACATGCTGAAGTGCTGGCTTCTCTGACAACAATGCAGCAGCCAGTATGTCTCCTTCTAACTTTAGATTCTGCTCCTGAATGCTCTGGATTTGTTTGGACCAGAGAAGGTAGGTGGTTTTAAGGCACCCAGCACACGGCCGTTTGGACGCCCTCGTTTGTCAGATATGAGAGCAGTTATCAGGTCAAACAACAAAGAGAAGTGGTTCAGATAGAAGTGATTGTACCCGACCTAAAAAGCCTCTGCATGTTTCTAATAAGCTCCACGAGCAGAACGTGCTCAAACTAGGATCAATATTGGAGATGCTTTTGAAAAATGGAGAGAGGTTAGAACACAGAAAGGTTTACAGACCATGCAGAGCTGGATAAACACTGAAGCTTCAGAGTCCACCACATGGTGACCTGAGTGAACATCCACTCTAGAGAGGGGGGGTGGGTGGGGGGGAGAAGACAGCTCTCTATGATGTTTAGAATTTAGACTGCAGTACCCATTTGAAACACTAGGTGTCAGAGTTACATACTGCTCCTTAACCATGAACAACTCGACTAAAATGAAATTCTGAAATGAAAGCTCCAAGTGTTGTCTACCATTTAAGGTGTGACATGTTACATCTAAAAGGTGTTAAAATCAGTTAAAAATGATCATCAGCAGGTTTGTAGGTGAGGAGTCGTGTC